CATGTACATCGAAGGATTTATGTGAAACCATCGTTTTACAGATCAACGTAAACCTGTCAATGTGCTCAACACGGAACTTCACACCATCGTGACAGAAGTTTTCTACTGTCGTTATGCAAGGCCTATCAGGGGGCTAGATGAAACAGTTGATGCAGACGCCCACGCACAGCGTCCAATCTTCTGCATTCCGTTTCTCGGCCATGGGACTGTGTGTTCATAAGGATAATCGGTTTCTGCTCTAAGAGTATGCGCTAAAATGGCCTGCTCCCAAACAGCCATTTCACATGGCTGGTCGCGAAACTGAGCCGAAACATCAAAGACTAACAGCGACTGATTCCACCAACTTGTTTAATATATAAATTTACCCTTTTACACAGACAACCATAATTCAGTGATACGATGATGGTCGACACGTATTATGGGATATAAAATGTCAGAAGCTGTCACCCGCAAACTGCTGGGCTCCCGCTTCCCTGCTTGCCGACCGAATATGTCCTTAACTTGCAGCTGAAGTTAACTTTGCTAATTCATTTTTGTGCATGGATTCTTGCTAGAACAGCCATTACTGAAGTTGAGTGCACACCGTTTATACTTAGCGATCGTCATCCTTTGTCTGCTCTACAAGCATCACAGCCAACTGCTTCCGGTAGTCCAGCTATGTCTTAAATTATCGTATAATTACGGTTGAAGGTGTTACTGTATCACCCAGCCCTTAAAATATCTCTCAATCAGCTGGATTGATCTCCAGCCATTGCCTGATTAGCTTGAACAGCAGATAGTTCTCTAACTTGTATCGAAAATTTTTAAACAGCCGCCTTGCTAGCTTTACTTCTGAGGTTAGATTTTGTGTATTTTTGCCTTTCCTACTCTTTCATTATGCTTCGGATTCACATCACGAAACACACTCCAAAAAAGCTCGTCCATCATTCCGATGAATGGAAAATAGACCAAGACTGACTCCTCCATTTGATGCGGATGCTGTTTTAGACTATAGAGTTGTGGTGAGATCGCCAGTGGTTATTAATTTTATTAACTACGATTTGTGTTTCAGAAACGTATTTATTTCAGTCAATTAAAGAATTATTCAGCAAAAAAATTCAGCGAATTATTTAATAAAGTTAATTTCGAGCCAGTGACTAGTTGCTCTTAAATCTTTCTCTCAAGACAACTTCTACTTTAATTTGTGTCACCTTATAAAAGAGTAATGATTAATCTCAAACAGAAATAACGTGGTAATGCACATGCCAAGAAAAAAGTTGCAGCGTTATCAGGTAACCGCTGTTTCATGCGCCTGTTATAGCCGTAGGTTTTCAGAGAGCCGGTTAGCGATTTTTTGTTCGAAAATCGAGTTCCACTTTCCATTCAGTGAAAGTGTCATCATCAGGTCAAGTAAACCGAAATTACTATTGCCATATAAGCATCATTTCAGTTGCCAAGATGAACTATGCGGGGACAGTACGAGATTAGATTATGTAATTCAAAAATTCATCAAGCAGATAAATAGCCAGAAAGCCAAACTTCGCAAAGATAATGCACAGCTCCTTCAAGGCGGTTTAATGGCATACTGCACCGCCCCTTGATCACAGTTCCCTGAGGGGAACAGCCTAGTGCTAGATAGCATTTGAGCATTCGTCTTGTTTCATTTTGTTCGCTAGAGCTACCTCTTGCCATATGGTCTATAAAGTAGCGGTTTTTACAGCGTAACTTTATGAAACAGCTTAATGTAACTAATGCTTCGCAGCCATTTGTGTTCACTTGCCGTGGTGCTTGATCAACGTTGAGTCTGTAAAAAGTCAGTGACATGACGAGAAGCAAAAGTGAGCATTAAAATAATAAACTGTGATTAACTTATTCTATGCGTATTTTGGAATATTGGTGTTATGATAGAGTAGCTGTGTTAGGTGAGAGAGCGGCGTTGTCATTGAGAAGGTTATAATTGATGATTAGCCACTGAGCGCTCTATGAGGATTGTCAAAGATAAGAAGGCAAAACAGCCTTACCTGTACTTAGTCAGGACGTAATCTTTGATGCTTTTCCTGTCCCGGCAGGAGGAAATTCGTAAAAGAGCATTCCATGGAAGACGAAGCAGTCGCTGGATGTCTTTGTTGATAGGATGTTTATAAAGGGGACTCTTCGGCCACCAAGGACGGCTCTTGTTATTCGCCGTTCGAGAGGGGACTGTGTTAGAAAACTGGAAGACCGCTGAAACCACGTGGTTGTTGGAGGTGACTCGCGCAACGGCGATGTCGATATACTCCACTTCGTTGTAGAGAACGATGAGAATCGATGTGACGGAGAAGCAGAATAGTAGCAGTGTCAATCGCAGTAATTTGGTGCGCGACGGCATTAGCGAGAGTAGTAGGGTGGGGCGGCGAGGATCGGATTTTGCGGGGAACAGGAGGCGGCAAAACGATGAGGAGGAGCAGCGAGCTTTGAGGTGGTTCCTTCTCTCGTTTGCTCACTGGATGCTCAGTCACTCAGCCAACGCAGCTGTAGAGGCTTGGGCGATGGTGAACGTTGTTCCGCGGCATGTGGCCCAATCATTTGTCTCACGCGCCGAGGCAGACGTAACTTATTGGCAGAACGACGAGCGACATCGTCGTCAATTCGCCTGAAGTTCCGACCAAATTGCCGCCATGTGACAGACACTCCACTTCGTCGCGGGTGTCGTCCATTGCCAACCGTTCGCCTTCACATACCTCTGGGCTGCACCAGGCATTACATAAGCAGTTTAGAGACTGTCCACTAGGCGAAGGTTCCGATGCGCTTGTCTTCCAAGCACTCTGCACCCCATATTCCCTTCCACGTACGACCCACATCATTCAAAAAAAGGGCACAGGTTGTAGATTCTGTGACGGCGCTAATTCCATCAATGAACCTGGCAAAAAACCTTTTTACCTTCCGCGGGGGCCACAAAAACCAAATCATTCCTCGTTCGTGCGCGAAACTCATTAATTTCCGTAGAATCATGTGCTCACTGGTGCACGATAAAAACGCCCGCAGCGCAAAACCGGAATGGAAATGGATGCGGAGCTGAAATCGAAGGAAGACACCGCTAGAAAACTTACGAAAGTTTTCCCCCCTGTTTGGCCTATTTCCTTCTCGAATTCGCCAAGCAAGCACTGCAGGAGCTTAGTGTTCACTAAAATTACTTGGTTATGAAACAGGGTCTTTAAAACTTATGAACAAGCAGTTGAAAATTCCGTTTTCTCATTGTCTGAGACCTCGATCCGTGTAACAGTGGTGAATAACGTGATTTGAAGAACATCTTCACTTGCAAATGCTTCCGTCAGGGGTACTTTCTTGTGTTATCCTACCTTAGATACTTCCTCAAAGCTAGAGTGTCCCTTCTTCGTCGAAAAGTAATTCTTTCACTGAGCTAAGAACTGGTAAACGACCACGACAAATTCTTTTGTTCGATACGATGGCAGCATAAGTGCACAAGTTTTGTCAAGTTCGCTTTGTTGAATTCACACATGTTGATTATCTTAAAGGTGTTTACCGCAAAGTTTCTGTTTCCAGATTCATTTTTTGGTACATGTCCTTTTACAGGGGTGCTTTAAGTCATTGTCCAATATGTCTTTATCTTCAGCTTTGCTCAAGAAACGCAATCCCCTTGTAAACAGTCTTCCACGTCGTTTTTTTAAACAGAACTGTCTCAGCAGCCATAAAGAGATCCGATGACACTGACTACCATCGCCTCTTTACTAGCGATCATTGTTCTTTGTCTGTTTTCTGTAACGGCCAAAATGAGACCAGATTGTGCAAAAGCAGTAGCACGTATATCTGCCTTATGATTGCTCACAATCAACATTACGGAACGACTTTAACTTAGCTTCTGCAGCCTATGGAACAATTCTTCGTGCCGTCTCAAGCGCAAAAAGGAAATAGTGCAAATTCTAATGCCGCTTTAATTCAGTCAGACGACAATTGACCACTGTCATTCTACTCTGTAAATGAGCTTTGGCAGTCCTTTACTGAAAAATGCAGAATACCATAGTCTGGATCAATTTTCCGAACGATGAATATGGTTCTTTCCTCGGTTGTTCATTCACAACATACCCGTCGCGCGGCGGGCTAATGTAAAATCGGATGTACACTTCTAAGCTGATTCCTTCGTCTAAAATCCATTTATAACCTTTCGTACTGTGGCAGACGAAATTGTGTCAATGTGGATTAACGGAATTCCTTATGCAGATGCGCACACCCATGCAATTTCCTGCTGGCTAACTTTCGAATCTTCGAGTTGTGGACAGCCACATATGGACGATAGCTGCTACATATAAGCAGCGGTGAGAAAACGTGGGCGTTGCTCGGTTCGAGCTCGACAAGTTCGAATCCTGAGAAAAAAAGTTACAATCACGATGACAGTCACATTTGCAGGCTAAAGCGACCCGACCCTTTGAAAAAAACCTTGCAATTGTCACTCCAGCCCTGCGGTTAGAATTGGTTCGTCAGTTGCTAGAAGATGTAACTACGATTAAAAACCCGTACGGAACTGGGGCATCCGTCTGTACGAAATTCCCCAGATCAGCGTCAGCCCTGCCTACGGATGACAAAGCTTCACGCGGTATGAAAACACAAAGTTTTGCGGT